TTGGAGACAAAGTTAGGAATAAATACACTGTACGCATAACCATCTATATATAAGTATGCTATTGCAAGCTGAAATGGGTTTTCAAAATGAGGGTGATGTTGCACGAGTTTGGTCAACACCTGTATAGTATGGTATACAGTGCGACTGCCCCATAGCATTTTATCGTCCCTCTCACCCGTGACCTTGAACAAGTAAATTTCGTCTGACCCTTTCGGTGATGTAATTGGACCATATTCTGCGATCTGCGGCACTTGAAATCCCCCATCCCAACACGAGACTATCTGATTACCGGCTTGTACTTGTTGTGATGCTCTCGTTGTTACGTCTAGTCCATCTGTGTGGTGATGGCACTCCTGTTGTACATTCGAATTTCACTGAACCAGCCTAAGCCTCGCGCCTGTAGGCAAGGTGTGGTTCCTCGCACGCGTTAGCTGGGCAAGTACCAGGTCCCATGTTGCGGCTGAACCATCCGATCGATCGATAAATGATAAATCAGTCGTGTGATTTTCAGACCGGTATAGGAGGGGGATAAGTTCTGAATCCGAGGCCGCTTAAGTGTTGGCAGAACATTACCACAGGATAATCAGTTGTGGAGCGGTGCGCATTTTTCCATATTTGTTCTTTCTTTCTTTCGGAATTCTATCTCCGAGGTAGTTAGCGAGATCATTCAACGTGAAACCAGCCAGTTGGGAAAAAAACCAAGAAGAGTTTTCCGTGGGCCTACATTGGGGGATATTGTTATCCGTTATTAAGACAGTTTCAAATTTTTATTATGATTATCTATTTACCGAACTCACTACAAAAAATAGTGCGTGTATATTAGACGAGTCAAGCGTTGACCCTGTATCATAATCGCCTGAGCATTTTCCATTCCGAATTTTGCACGTGACGCACCGCTCCACAACTGGTTATCTTGTGGTTCTCCACCGACATTTAGGCAGCATCGGATTCAGAACCTCCTCCTGTGCCTGCCCGGCAATCACAAGACCGATTGGGTTCATTTATCGATTGGTCGGATGATTCAGCCGCAACATGGGACCTGGCACTGGCCTAACTAACACGTGCGAGGAACCACACCTTGTTTACAGGCTGGCCCAGTGAACTTCGAATGTACAACAGGAGTGCCATCACCACACAGATGGACTAGACGTAACAACGAGAGCATCACAACAAGTACAAGCCGGTAATCAGATAGTCTCGTGTTGGGATGGGGGATTTCAAGTGCCGCAGATCGCGGAATATGGTCCAATTACATCACCGAAAGGGTCAGACGAAATTTACTTGTTCAAGGTCAGGGGTGAAAGGGACGAGACGATGTGAAACGATCGAGCAATCGCACTGTAGTCAAGCCACTTGGTTAATGTGGTCGTGGCGTTTCAACACGTCTACTTGGTTCGCCGCCGTCGATCTAAGGCAATCAGAAGTCGCATTCTGACCACAGTGGAAATGGTCGGAATCCGGCTGCATAATCCTCCGCTCCAAAACAACTCGTAAGAACACTCAGTCTTCCATGGCCAATGCCGCACATTACAGCCTTCCCCCTCTCACTCGCCACCAATGACCCAAACAAATGTCCATGTGTGACGACCAAAGTGTGAGCAACATCCGGTCATGGAGCTGGAATGTCGATTGTTTTGCCATTTTGCCATTTCTTCCCCCCACGAAACATTATGACAAAAATATTGATGTAATAACCTGTAGATTAATCACCTTAAACGAGCTAGTGCGTTACCATGTTTTCTTACAATGTGCAATGATGGCATACTCAAACGACTGAAAATTATACATACCGAACTCGAGTTAGAAAAACCATTACCCTCATGATCAATCACCAAAACCTCTTCCATGGTATTGCGCCCTTTGCATTTTAAAACATACTACTCAACTATGCGGACCGGACAAAGTGACATCAGTAATGCTTACTCTTTCGAATGTATGAAGTAGGAAGTAGTTATGTTATCGATTGAATTATTTGGCTGATTACGAAGCACACGAAGATTCGCATGAGTCCTTGTCATTTTGGCTTCGAGATTTGTTATGCGAAACGATTTTAACTTATTCCTCCTAAACATTTTTTTAAAATTCTCATCAACGTTTCCTTTTTACAAAGCCTTACCCAGTTAAGATACACCGGCACGCTGGATGCTATCTTTGAAAAATGGTGGCCTTACACCTCAGAAGACTGCTCCATCTTGATCGATTCAGGTTTATCGATAGGAGAATTGGTTGGAACCTTCTATCTAATGGCACTGGGTGCTGGTTCGAGTATCGTGTTACTTCTAATCGAACTCGCATTTCACCGCATTCGAAAACATGCAACCAAGACCTGGGTAAGTTGTGTGTGTGCACCACAAGCTTGGTTTGATTACGTTTCATGTAACACGAGTGCAAATAGATCTCAAAAGCGGGCGACGCAGAGACTATTCTGGATCCGATACGTAGGGATTGTAGTATCGTGGGATCGAGCTGGATGGTTGCAAATCAATAATAAATGCTATGGCACCCAGTCCTCTTTGACCATAGATGCGGATCATCATCATTTAGGCGGTAATGGATCAGTTGATGTGCAAATTTCCATACTCCATCGACTGCAATATTGCGTCTGCAGCTTCATACACTTCAAAACTAAAAATGAATAACAAAATGTAGCAGTGGTTTTAAGAGAACATGAACGAGAAGAAGGCGTGAGAGCTCGTGTGACAAATGGCGAAACTAAATCCAATGATATCCTACAAGTTCACAGTTTTGAAATATGTTCTCTAAGCTTTCGGAATTGAAGGGCTTACCGTTTTCCTACAGGTGATCCGCAAATGTATAAAAACATTTCATATTCGTTATACTATCCAACAATCCCCGGTCTCAAAGAGCGAGACTTTATCCTCATTTGAAGACCAATGAAAATTCTTTTCCGTTGCAAAAGTAGCCCCAAAACTTTCACGTTTGGGTTTATTGTATATCAGCATTTTGATGCATGTGAACCGTCAGCCTGGTATATACTGTCTGATGAATGCCATTGTCTGCATGATCATCCTGGTACATGCATCTCAACTCCGTACTCATTCCGATTTCGGCTTCTCTTTGTACGTCTACCCGACCAACCCCCTGAATCCAAATGGCATGATCTACTATCATGCCCGCAGTTCAATAAACCGGACAATTGTCATTATAAACGCCACGAATCTCCTACTGCAATATACCGTTTACCTTTTATTGCATACGATTTTCGTCACCTAGCATGCATTTTATTTGCATGTTTCACTACTGTGCGTGATCGAAACCGGTGAACGTTCACCCGACTGGGTGTAGAAATCCTAAAATGAACCAAGTTATTAAGATCTCAAACCCAAGGAAACATCCGCGATGAGATATGTAGAACAATACAAACAGGTGACAGGAATGGCATTACTACAATCCGGGAAGTGCCCGTGCTAATCGACTGACTTCAATAGAAGTTATTAATCTTAAATGGACGACACAGCAGAGAAGAGGTCGTACGCGAATAGTGGATTTCTGTTATTATTTTGCAACAATACAAGAATCCAAATTTATTGGTAACCTATCTTTTGCGTAACCATACGACCTGGTCTATTTAGGTTCGTCTTGAACGGACCACAAGTGACAAATGCCAGTCGCTTTGATTCTGACTTTGATTTTGAATTGAGGTTCTTTTTTCTATTCCTTTTGTGTGTGTGTGTGTGTCACAGTCGGAGAAGGAAGAAGATCGAGAGAAACAGGGCACTGAAATCGCGAAGCCGAAAAAGGAAAGACCAATCGCTGGTTCACCGAATCCCCCCGCATCGCGAATCCCACGACCGACGAAAACTGTGCTAAGCAGACAGTCGTCGTTTGAAGAACGCGGTCCTGTTGGAAAACCAAAGCAAATCTTGTAGGATTGCTCAACAGGGAGCAGGTTGAGTGTGGCATGTCCTTTGTTGTTACCTGGTACACTAATTGAATGACTATTCCCGCTAACCATACCCTTAGCCATATAACCATGAAAGCGAGGTTTACATAAATGCGAACCTCCATATTTCATCATGGTTATTAGATTGTCCACTGAATTTGTTTGAGCTAGTGAGTAATGGACAGGCAGAAAATTTACCAAGCAGACTATCAGACAATTTTTGTTCTGTAAGTCGGATAATTTTTCACATTACTTGTGCTGTACTGTTTAAACGTATTACGATGACAAAAAAATTAAGGAGCTAGTTGGAATGCATTTCTT